GTAGTATGCCTGACCGCCGCCGAGTTTAAGCCTCTTATACTTCCTGTGTCTGGCTTCACCTTGTCCAGCTTACGACTCTCGCTATTTAACCGCGGCACGGACCACACAGAAAACACAGCCTCTGTTGTTGATACATGTTTACCGAACCATTACATAGCAACGGTCGCAGTGTGGACTCAATAGAAAGCCAGTCACATGATAGCTATGTTGCGAGCCCATTGACGCGCTGACTGCTGCCTAGCAACGAGCTATAAACATTCGTGCGCTTACGTGAGGAGGTGTTTATTGCGTCGCTGCCTAACTATGCACGTTACAGTATTTTAGCATACAACCAATGTGCACTACACGGCCTACCCATTTAATTGTCCTTTATTCGAATGACCTAATAACTGGCGGTGGAAAGCAAGCTCCTCGTTATGCAGCTCCCTCCTCTTGACTATTATTACCGCCGTGCTACCTGCAAATGCTCTCCAGTGCCCTCAGTCTGTTTGTTCCCTGTTCACTAAACCTGATTGACGAGTCTGTTTATTTTCGAACGGCAGGAGGTGTCTGTGGAACTTTCTCGTCGTATATACTGGTATTTCATATATTGTCACGTATGAAGGGTTAGCGTGACGAATAATTGTGGGTTCTAGAATTGATGCTTGGATTTTTTAGACGCCACTATTACAATTGTACTTCACTATAACAGCTCACACATTGAACTCCTGCTTAATGACCTCTGTGTGACGAATCTCTCTGCTGTCCGAAACCCGGACTGGTCTCTAGTCTCTCGAATTCTGGGTCTGTATTCCTCGAATTCACTACTAGTTGTAACTGTTAGTCGGCCAGCATAGAAGACATCACGTCGAACAGTTAATTGTTCTCTGTTGTCCGATTGGTTGTCCCGGGAACGTTGTGTTAAGCAACTTTGTTACCTGGTAGTGAGTCGTTCACCGCAATACGTTTTAACGGAAACTAGTGTTTACTTAGCCGTTGCTCATCAACGGACGTCTGGCCCCGACTCTCAGCCGTCACGTCACAATATATAAACGTTCTAAGAAGTCGAGTACCTTCTTCTAGTATGTGACACCTTGTGCCTTCTAGAGGACCCTCCATCTTGAGGGTAGAATGCGCAGGCAACAGACTCCTCTGGCGCATTCATATACCTATGTGTACCAAACTACACGACGTAACTTCCCAGAAGATAGCTGTCCTAATTGTCACCGCCGTGAGTACGCAGAGCTCACGTTAAAATGCTGTTTGCCGAGGACATGCGAAAGTAAAGTTGTGATCCATTCACGAATTTAAGAAGCCCTTAGTTATAAAACAAATGATTTATTCTTACCCGGAAGGTGGATGATAATGTCATCACGAACTTCACGTTGCAAGTAGTTCACATCATATCATATCATGAGATCAGTGCGTCGCGAAATAGATGGACTTCGTCCAGCAGGAAGTGTTCAGAATCCGGACATAAGATCCTCCACATATGTGACACGTGTTGCTTCTGACGGCGTTGACAGCGGTGGCAGTAAAGTGACTGTGTGTAGGTCGCGTAGTAGTTGGAACGAGTTCTACTGCGTCTGACGTGAGAATGTGAAACTCAACATAAGAATTTGCCTGTAAGAAGGAACTTAGAAAGTGGGACTTTGATGTGCGGTCTGGTAATATTCGGGCTCCTGTGTCTATGCGTGCATAAACGAATCGGTGGTACGGAGGTCTGACCGTTCGCATGTTTCATGTCCGAAACTACTTGACGGATTTCGACGAAATGTGTTACTCGTGTTGTTAATAAACTTTAATTTTGAATTTGATCTGTTATTAAATATTAAGTGCTACTTTACCTGAAGTTCAAATCGGAACAACTTAGGTTATCCGACGAGTGACAGCTGATATTTTCAATAAAACAGAACAAAACGCTGGAGACAGCGAAGTACAGACAACGCGGGATAACACGAAGGTCTGTTTTCATTCCGCGGCCATTATACATTCGTACCCATTGTTTGTATCAATGCTGATACACTTATCTCGAAGCCTCCTCACATACATTGCTGCGACAGTCACATGACCTTGGAGATGGCAAGCGATGCTTGTGGATTACGTCATCGTGTGCATGCTTGCTGTACTCAATAGAGCTTATCAGCTTCGAATACGAATTTATGCGATGGGTTGTGAAGGTTCTGGATGAAAAGCTCGTGTGAGCTTAACGCAACATCCCGGAATCTGGTTAGAGTGACTGACGGTAGCCACGATATGCTCAAATTGGATAACGTGTATCTCAGCCAAGAATCGAACCGAGCATATTCTGAATGTGAATCAGAGATGCCACCCACCCCGCGATGACCTGTACTATCAGTCAGCCTACCTAACCATTCTCCCATCGATCAAGCAAACCGTTCAAAATCTAGCCATTCTTACATTAGACAATCAAACCTTTCTTCTATCAATCAACCAGTCTCTCCAGCAAGGCTACCATCAAACTGTTTATCCAGCAGTCCTATCGCTTAATGAAATCAAAACATTCATTAATCCAAACATTCCATCAATCAATTCCTAGAACAATACGCATTCAATCAATCAGTCAACCAACCCAGTCACCTGCCCGTAAATCAATCAATCCTGCCATCCATGAAACGGACCAATTTGTCCGCTGACGTATAGAAATTTCAGAGCGGCAGTTGAAGTTTCGCTTCGCCATCCAAGTCTGAACTCCAGACAGTGAACAAGCATGTGCTGAGTGCCATGCTCCCCTGCTACCGCCTGCAAAATAACTCCATTAAGAGAGCGGCAGTTGAAGTTTCGCTTCGCCATCCAAGTCTGAACTGCAGACAGTGAACAAGCATGTGTTGAGTGCCATGCTCCCCTGCTACCGCCTGCAAAATAACTCCATTAAGAGAGCGGCAGTATTAATTGTGTCACTTCTTTCTCTCGCTTCTGTGAAAGAAGGGAAAATGGAATTAGGTCACTTCACCGCAGGGTTTCTGATAGCGGCTCTGTTGCAACAAGTTACAAAGAGCAGGAAACTAATAAGCGACTTCATCACCTGCAACATACTAATCACGGTACTTTTTGTATGATAATGTTTGCCCGATGCAAACAAACAAGTGTGAAGCCGATTCGCTAAATTCAGCCACATTAAGATTTTGACGTAAGTGCTTGTTTACTTTGAAATGGTGCCGCAACCTACAGACCGAGTTCAAATTACTTGGCTCTACCTCGTGATTCCTTCAATTGTCACCCTACGGACCAAAAAGTCAAAAAGGAAGGACACATCACAAACACAGTACACAGAAACGACTCCCATAGTGGAGGAACCATTCTATACGCGAGTTTGAATTGAGACATGTAGATGAATAATCTTAACAAGTTTTAGTATACAAATTTTATTATAGTTGACGAACAATGTACTTTCTAAATAATTTTATGAAAGACACAAGATGGCAAACAATGTAATAGCTTAGCGTAAATAACGAACCGGAAGATGGCACAATGTTGCCGAACCATGTAGTAAGAAGCGACATATGAAATTGAGTGCACTACAAGACGGCCATTACATACGTATCATGGATGAAAATCAGTGCAACAGGACGCTAAAATACAACAATACGGACAGATGTTCTTACTGTGGTGCTCGAGGCCTGTCATCCGTTCCTTTTTCCTTCTGGGCGCATATGACCAACCATCTGCCCACACAGCCATTCCTGTAGACATCACGCACTTCACACAGGGTAAGAAAAGTCTCAATAAACATCCAAACAATTCCAGCACAACCTACTGTACACCCCTGTGCTAACAGAAATTGTATTCCAGGGCAGGCCACGGGAAACACGAAAACCGACGTATACCCCTACCCAACATAACGAACGCACTAGTAAGACATGGAGGCACGCGGTAGCGTAGTTGCTTGAGGCACTAAGCTACAAGCCGGAAGGTCGCGGGTTCAATTGCCGATGAGGTCATTGGATTGTTAAATTGACCTAATCCTTCCAGCCGCACTCTGACTCTGGGGTCGACTCAGCCTCTAACAGAAATGAGTACCGGTCTTGGCGCTGTGGAGAAGAGAATAATCTCTTGCCCCTGTCAGCAATCGAACCCCGGCCTTACAGCCTGTAGGCCGTCGCTATACCGACTGAACTATGCCTGGAAAAAATAAAACTCGAAAGTAATGGAAACTGGTAATAGGGAGTGATTTGAAATTGTGAATATATGTGTGTTTTATGATTAATGTTATTCAGATTTTAATGGGCCTAAGTGAGCGTATGTGGGGCACACGATAGCGTAGTTGGTTGAGGCACTATGTTACACGCCGGAAGGTCGCGGGTTCGATTGCCGATGAGGTCATGGGATTTTTTTAAATTGACCTAATCCTTCCATCTGCCCTATGGTCCTGAGTGTCGACTCAGCCTCAACGGAAAGGAGCACAAGTCGTTGTTTACATTTCCTACAGAACGGACAGTTATTGTAAGATGAGGCACCAACTAAATAATTAACATTAATTTAGTACATCTACATCACTAGCCTCCTATACAATCGTATATACAAAAAGAAAAAAAATAGAATATTTCAATTTGTCCGTGGGAACACAACGAAATTACAAAACCAACGACTAATTCGATGATATAAAACATCAGTCTAAAAATTTTATTCTTGTTTTATACTATAACTTCTGTTTTATATAATCTGATTTATTGTACTTTTTACGTCAAGTGTTTTATATAATTATAATATTGTATCCAATTTTACTGGTACTGCAGTTCATTGGTGTATATATGTTAACCGTGTATTTGCCTGATGATGGCTGTTGATAGCCGAAACTAGGCAGTGATCTTGATATTTGTTGTGTTGTGACGGTTGTAATAAAGAGGTTGAGTAAAAGGAATCACCCTGGGGTAAAGAGCGGCCATATATGAGCCGATTGTCTATAAGATGTGGGTGCCTCGACGTCTCACAACCTTATGGGCCTCCACGGCCAGTTACGGGGATAGCTTTGGTTTACTAATAACACATTCATATTTCAGATGAGGGGCAGAATCCCGCGCCAACAAATACGCATATTGGCGACCGCCACCTAAACATCTGGCTAACATAAAGCAAGAGGGACACGACAACAGAAGAAAAATGTATGTACAGTGGAACCTCGCTTAACGAGCATAATTCGTTCCAGAATCTTACTCGTAATGCGAAACACTAGTTAAGCGAAACAATTTTTCTCATATAAATTAATGTAAAATACGATAATGTGTTCTATGCCGAAAAAAATACTCAAAAAATGTTATGTATAACGTTTATTCAAAGAAAATTATATATACATTGTTAAGGAGCGTGAATCATCTTCATCTTTTCTTCTATGCGGAATGAACCAACCTGGAATGCGAATTCGATTTGCAGAAAACAAAAACGAAATAATTAGTTTATTATTTATGATACATATCTAATTCTTTTTTACTACAAAGCTGTGTAGAGACATTTGTTTCTGCCGACCCTTCGAAATTTGGTGAAAATGCGACACAGCATTATCATTAAATAAATTTGTAGCGCGCATAGTCACTGCCTTATTAGGGTGATGCTTCTCAATGTACGGTGCAACAGTTTCCCATGCAACTCCAAATCGTGCAAATCGTTGATGTAGACCGACTGTATGTGCGTGCTAGATCAGCCGCGCTCACACCTCGTTCTCGCTTTTCAATGATTTTACGTTTCATTTCTATGGTAATTTTTATTCTCTTATGGCTGTCTTTTTTGCGGATTTTTCTTCGGGGACATTTTTGCAAGGGTTATTAAACTTTGCACAAAAAAATCACAAATAATATGTCTGAACACAAGTTTGGAAAAATGTGTGATCACAAGCGACACTAAGAGCTAGCGGAGCGAGTGCTAAACACAGACGGATGTAGCAAGCGCACAATCCGGGACTTCCCCTCTCGTCACTCGTTATGAGAAACGTCGCTCGTTAAGCGAGTCATTTTTTACAATTTGTTTTGCTCGTTATACGAATTACTCGTTATGAGAGGTGCTCGTTAAGCGAGTATGTATATAACTTTTAACGACTACCTTAATATTAATTCCAGTTAGAATATTTTAATATTAAAACATAGAAGTACAATTTTAGTGTTTAATACATGAACAACATATCTGTACAATGCACTCCCAATATGTAAACGCTGGCCAGCGTAGGAAAGTATAGCACACAGTAGGAAGGGTAATTGTAAAAGCATTAAAATTCGCACTTCTCACCGTCCCTGTACGACTGCTTCAATGTATTAAAATTCGCACTTCTCACCGTCCCAGTGCAGCTGCTTCGATGTATTAAAATTCGCACTTCTCACTGTCCCTGTACAACTGCTTCGATGTATTAAAATTCGCACTTCTCACTGTCCCTGTACAACTGCTTCGATGTATTAAAATTCTTACTTCTCGCCGTCTCTATACAACTGCTTCGATGTATTAAAATTCGCACTGCTCACCGTCCCTGTACAATTGCTTCAGAGTATTAAAATTCGCAATTCTCACAATTCTTGTACAACTGCTTCGATGTATTAAAATTCGCACTTCTCACTGTCCCTGTACAACTGCTTATATGTATTAAATTTCGCACTTCTCACTGTCCTTGTACAACTGCTTCGATGTATTAACTTTCGCACTTCTCACCGTCCCAGTGCAGGTGCTTCAATGTATTAAAATTCGCACTTCTCACCGTCCCAGTGCAGCTGCTTATATGTATTAAATTTCGCACTTCTCACTGTCTCAGTGCAGCTGCTTATATGTATTAAATTTCGCACTTCTCACTGTCCTTGTACAACTGCTTCGATGTATTAAAATTCGCACTTCTCACCGTCCCAGTGCAGGTGCTTCATTGTATTAAAATTCGCACTTCTCACGTCTCAGTGCAGCTGCTTCGATGTATTAAAATTCGCACTTCTCACCGTCCCTGTACAACTGCTTCGATGTATTAAAATTCGCACTTCTCACCGTCCCAGTGCAGCTGCTTCGATATATTAACTTTCGCACTTGTCACTGTCTCATTGCAGCTGCTTCGATGTATTAAAATTCGCACTTCTCACCGTCCCAGTGCAGCTGCTTCGATGTATTAACTTTCGCACTTCTCACCGTCTCAGTGCAGCTGCTTATATGTATTAAATTTCGCACTTCTCACCGTCCCAGTGCAGGTGCTTCATTGTATTAAAATTCGCACTTCTCACCGTCCCAGTGCAGGTGCTTCATTGTATTAAAATTCGCACTTCTCACCGTCCCAGTGCAGGTGCTTCATTGTATTAAAATTCGCACTTCTCACCGTCCCAGTGCAGGTGCTTCATTGTATTAAAATTCGCACTTCTCACCGTCCCAGTGCAGGTGCTTCATTGTATTAAAATTCGCACTTCTCACCGTCCCAGTGCAGGTGCTTCATTGTATTAAAATTCGCACTTCTCACCGTCCCAGTGCAGGTGCTTCATTGTATTAAAATTCGCACTTCTCACCGTCCCAGTGCAGGTGCTTCATTGTATTAAAATTCGCACTTCTCACCGTCCCAGTGCAGGTGCTTCATTGTATTAAAATTCGCACTTCTCACCGTCCCAGTGCAGGTGCTTCATTGTATTAAAATTCGCACTTCTCACCGTCCCAGTGCAGGTGCTTCATTGTATTAAAATTCGCACTTCTCACCGTCCCAGTGCAGGTGCTTCATTGTATTAAAATTCGCACTTCTCACCGTCCCAGTGCAGGTGCTTCATTGTATTAAAATTCGCACTTCTCACCGTCCCAGTGCAGGTGCTTCATTGTATTAAAATTCGCACTTCTCACCGTCCCAGTGCAGGTGCTTCATTGTATTAAAATTCGCACTTCTCACCGTCCCAGTGCAGGTGCTTCATTGTATTAAAATTCGCACTGCTCACCGTCCCTGTACAATTGCTTCAGAGTATTAAAATTCGCAATTCTCACAGTTCTTGTACAACTGCTTCGATGTTTTAAAATTCGCACTTCTCACTGTCCTTGTAGAACTGCTTCGATGTATTAGAATTCTCACTTCTCGCCGTCCCAGTGCAGGTGCTTCGATGTATTAAAATTCGCACTTCTCACCGTCCCAGTACAGCTGCTTCGATATATTAACTTTCGCACTTGTCACTGTCTCATTGCAGCTGCTTCGATGTATTAAAATTCGCACTTCTCACAGTCCCTGTACAACTACTTCGATGTAATGAAATTCTCACTTCTCACCGTCCCTGTACAACTACTTCGATGTATTAAAATTCGCACTTCTCACCGTCCCTGTACAACTGCTTCGATGTATTAAAATTCGCAATTCTCGCAGTCCCTGTACAACTGCTTCGATGTACGAGTTTTAAAATTCGGACTTCTCACCGTCCCTATACAACTGCTTCAATGTATTAAAATTCGCACTTCTCACCGTCCCATTGCAGCAGCTTCGGTGTATTAAAATTCTCACTTCTCACCGTCCCTGTACAACTGCTTCGATGTATTAGAATTCTCACTTCTCGCCGTCCCTGTACAACTGCTTCGATGTATTAAAATTCGCACTTCTCACCGTCCCAGTGCAGCTGCTTCGATATATTAACTTTCGCACTTGTCACTGTCTCATTGCAGCTGCTTCGATGTATTAAAATTCGCACTTCTCACAGTCCCTGTACAACTACTTCGATGTAATGAAATTCTCACTTCTCACCGTCCCTGTACAACTGCTTCGATGTATTAAAATTCGTAATTCTCTCGGACCCTGCACAACTCCTTCGATGTACGAGTACTAAAATTCTCACTTCTCACCGTCCCTGTACATCTGCTTCGATGTATTAAAATTCGCACTTCTCACCGTCCCTGTACATCTGCTTCGATGTATTAAAATTCGCACTTCTCACCGTCCCAGTGCAGCTGCTTCGATGTATTAAATTTCCCACTTCATTAGCATTCCTTTCTTCCTATTATTCGAACACTACATGTTTCGGCCCAACTGGCTGCCATCATCAGGTGTACAGGTTATAAAGGAAACTGATACCCAGTTGCCGATCTGCTACATTTTGCATTTTAAAGGTGTAAAATATTTATAAAATATTTAAAATTATTTTTCAAATATCATGCTGTAATTATTTTTTGTATGCATGTGTTATGGGTTTGGTGTATCTGTAATATATTGTGACGGATTTGTTCAACGCGTTGCTAGGCAACAGATCTGTAAACACGGTCCAACACGAAACAATAGAGGAAGCTGTGTTTTCCGTGTCCGCGGTGACGTCACACAAGGTTGGATAGTGATCATGTGACATGTTTGTTGTGCTGCATGTCCGATTCTCGGCCTTTCGAATTCTGCCACTCTTGCTTATATATAAGCAAGAGTGGCAGAATTCGAAAGGCAGTTACTATTTACGGGCAGAAGCACGCAAACAAGAGCTGGAGGAGTACAAGGCAGTTACGAGTTACGGGCAGAAGCACGCAAAGAAGAGCTGGAGGAGTACAAGGCAGTTACGAGTCGGTCGTAAACTGGAGAAGTGAGGCCAGAAGAAATTCTACTTCCGAGGTTCCAAAGTGATTGAAGACGAAATAACAAGAAGACTTCTTAGCGATTGAAGTGCTAATTTCTGTGCTGAGACATTTTGCTAGGAGACGAGTAGCGGACACTGAGGATCCCAGTGCATGTGTAACGGCGGACCGGAAAGTGTGTAAGTCGGCGCAGTAGCGCTGTTGTAATTGTAATTAAGAGAGAGAGAGAGAACTTGTAACCGAATTGCTAGTAGATCCAGTCATCCCGTTATTTTCGTCACGCGTACCACCCTACACGTGACACTATAATAATTGGTTATATTAGTGTTTTGTTCATGAAATGAATAGTTTGTAGGTCTGTATTAGGTGGAGTAGCGTACATTGTATGTATGCGGCAGGTGTAGACAGTCCCGCAGTATTTGTGTTCACTGTTTCGCCAATTCGTATGCAGGTGCAAAGTGTAGCAGCGTGACAACGGGACCGCAGTTTCCTCTACAGCGTGTACACCTGACGATGGTAGCCGGTTGGGCCGAAACACGTAGTGTTCGAATAATATGAAGAGGCTAATGCTTTTGAAGTGTCAAATCTAATACATCGACGAAGTTGCGCGGGGACGGCGAGCGGTACGCGTGCT